GACACACAGTAATTAAAAGTATCAGACTGGTGGAACTAACTTTCTTGGATGTTTAACAGACACACTTTGAGGGCTATAATAATTTGGTCAGAGGGACATAAAGGACAGTTTTTGTTCCTTGCCCTCCTAGGTCGACTAGTTCCAGGGGACTATGAGCATCTCTCAAAATGTCCTGTAATTGTGGTGGGTCACCTGTCCTCTTGATCAAGGAGGCCAAGGAGACCCCACCAGATGGACTTGAACCAGTGTCCAGTCCACAAAGAGGAGGGTCAACACAGAGGAATCATTTCCTCCATGCTTCCAAGCGAAGCCAACCATGGTCAAGCAGGACCTTTGACTTATGTCCACATAGGCGGAACTGGTAAAACAAAGGAGCCAGGGGCTCCTCCCAAGACCATGTGATCCCTGAGGAACAGATCCTCAAACGACCTTAAGAGTAAAAATAAATTGGTTTATCTGGGCCAACTGTATGGCCTTAAATACCCAAAAGGAAACTATAACCAAAGATTAAAGGGGCCAATATAATTTCTTAAGAGTCCATATGTATAGCTAAAGGCTACACAACAAGCAACAATGCCAGATAGGTGATACCTTCTTTTGAGTTGTTGACCAGGGTCCATGTGACTCCCAGAGAGTAACCCAGCATAGAACTGGGAAAATGAACAGCAGACCCCAATCTTATCTAAAGGACTATTGATAACTGATTACTGCTAGATGAGGAACAGCTGACCCTCCTAAAACAAAGACCTTTAGATAGGCTGACTAGATTCACCAGAAGGGCAAGTAGTGGGGAAGTGCTAGGGGTGCCGACAACACGGCAGACAGTAGCAGGGATATCAGAGTATATGACAGCTTATAGCTTTTGAATTCTGCTGCACAACTGTGTTAGGACAAACCTCTCAGTCCTGACATTTAACCTGGGCCTTTGTTACTCCTGACTCAAAGAATAAAATCCTATGTCTTAGTACTTGAGAAGTGCCTTGATCATGAATTCCAGACCCCTCATTTTAGAGAAAAGGAAGCATGGAAATTTATGTCATGCTAATTAGTAGAGGTGATAAACATTAACATTGAAATCTACCCAATGACTTTATAGACATAAAAAGGAGCCAAGGATCCAAGTGCAACTGATTATGACTAGTAATAATCAGATACATAGAGATTAGAGATGCATGTGCCAACATCTCAGTGTTAGTAGCAAAAACAATGAGTCTTTCTGCAAGGAACAATATATTCTAAAATGAAATGTAGATCTTTTTTAAAGGTTAAAAAACTCATTCAATTCTATGTCTTATAGGGCTTTTACTGAGTTCAATATTGTATAACTGTATTAACTCAGCTGTGAACCTAGGAATTTGCATCCACTTGTGAAAGAGATGTACTCTTGCTCTGGAGTGTGTTACTGAATATGTGAAAGTTGTAGTGAAATGTTTCTTCTAATCATGTAGTTATTAAAAATTTAAAAAATAATGATTAAAAATATTAGTTGATATGAAAAACATTACCATTGAAATCTATCTGACGATGTTATATCCATGCTCAGATGCCAAGGAGCTCAGAAAGTAACCGACTGTGATGAGTAATAATCAGATATATACAGATTAGAAATGCATATGCAAACATCTTAATGTCAATTGCATTAAAAATGAATTTTTCTGTATGAAACTGTGTATTATAATAATGAAATGGAGACCTTTTTTAAAGGTAAAAACCTCATTTAATTTTGTCTTATAGGGTTTATACTGAGTACAATATTGTATAAATGTAATAATTCAACAGTAAACCTAAAAATTTGCAGCCAATTTTGAAAGAGATGCATCTTAGCTTAGGAAATTGTTATTGAATATGTCAATGCTGTTGTAATGAAATGCTTCATCTAAGTATGTGGTTAATAAAACAAATAATTTTTAAAAAATGATTGGAAAAATACAGTGACAACTTCTTTTAGTAATATAAAATAAAATCATCTTGCTACTTTTGAATAGTATGGGTTTTGCTGTATATATTTTAAAAGGCTATTTATTGGACAGTCTCACCTTTTTCCTTTTGTTCTGGGTCATCTGCTTTTCTATTTGTTTCTGAAAATTAAAGACAAAACAAATTAAGCACTGTGAAAGTCACTATTCAGTATCTCAAAATATATTGCATGAATATAATTTATTAAAAGTACTACCAGTCATACAATTTTCCTAAATCCTGAATTATTCACATATGAAATTCATTTCAAAACATTAAGATTTGGGTTCACGTGCATTACTTTTTCTTAAATATTTTATTATTTTTATTTTATGTGTATGAGTGCATTGCCTGAATGTGTGTAAGTGCACCCATATCATCCAATGCCTGTAGACGTCAGAAGAAGGCATCAGATCCCTTGGGCCTGGAGTTACGGATGACTGTTAGTGGCCATGTGGGTGCTAGGAATCGAACCCAGGTCCTCTGCAAGAGTAGTCAGTACTCTTAACTGCTGAGCCATATCTCCAGCCCCCCACATGAATTATTTTTAAGTAACTGAGCAATGACTAAGTATCAATTATCAGGCTATGTGTCCCTTATATATAAGAGCATTAGTGTGGACAATATCCATCAACTGTAAGTGGCCCTATGTGTGATGGGCATCCAGTTGAAGGTCAAGCTAGGATCATGAGAAACCATAATCAAAGCTTATTCAATACTTTTATTATCTCTTAAGACTGTGACTACTTTTATAATAACTACCTATGCTTTAAGGGGATGTTGCATATCACATGACTTGTGTATTAGCCTCCCTACTCCAAGCACTTAACACATATGCAGATGACCCCTTGGGGACATCTATGCTGGATCCCAGGCATACACCATCGGCTCAATTGCTAAGAAGCTTAAAATGAATACAAGAGCTCCATACTAAGTGTCTTCCAGAAATGGGGCTGCAGAGTACAGTGAAACGCATGAGGACCGTGGACTAACATCCAATGAACATCCACCTCTGACATGGACAACAGGAAGTGAACGACATGCACTGGAACCTCTCTTCTGCACATATAACACTGGGTTTATTTGTTTAATGAAAAAGAATCCAACTAATTCCCAAGATAGACCAGTTGATTATAGTTACAGCAGGCACTTTTCTTCAGTTGAGGCTGGACTCATTTGTATGGATATATGTTGGTCTGGAATGAGGCAAAGCTTGGGAGATAGATACAAAGGTTTACTCTCTCCTCTCCCCATGGGATAATACAGGTATAATTATATGGGAGGGTAATTAGATATGGGAGGGTATAGGTGTAATTAGCAATGTGGTCCAGAGTACAGTTGTATATATCAGTTTATTTGTGAGCTCTGTGTGTCTAACATTCATGCACAAAAGACGTTTCTAGTAGGGAAGGTGAAAAGTAAATGAAGCAGGCTTTGATGCAGGAAAGGGCTTTATGGTCAATGACATGCTTTTGCTCCTTTGAGACCTGAGACAAGAGGAAGTAAAGGGAGCAAACTTTGAAATGTAGGGTGTCAGGCTCAGTACACATGGCTCAGATACTCCTGTCTCCTGCACCATGGAATGTCTCTGCGTGCAAAGGAAGAAGTTAAGGCTGAGCAATTGTAGAGTTTCCAGAGCTATGGAGGCCAGCTGTTTATATGACCCCACGGCATTACGTTCTGCCCACTGTACCACTTTGACCTTCTGTGAAAGAGATGAAGGGATAGAAAAGTACAAGTCCTCACTTTCACTAAAAGCACCTTTTTATAAAGCTGTTCACTGTATATAACTCCTATGAAATTCTCCGAAAAGGATAGTGTACATGGAGAGGAGAGGTACAATGATGAGGTCTACCAGATCTTTTTTTTTTTTTTTTTTTTTTTTTTTTTGAGGCAGGGTTTCCCTATAGCTCCAGCTGTCCTGGAACTCACTATGTAGACAGGCTGGCCTTGAACTCACAGAGATCTGCCTGCCTCTGCCTCCCGAGTGCTGGGACTACAGGCATGCGCCACCACAGATCTTTACTGAACATTCTAGAACTTTGAATTTTATTAATTTTTCACTTCCTCAAAATTAGGTAGCTGCAAAAAATTCACTCTACGTATCTTTTTATAGTGTGTGAGGAGGTAGGTCTTGTGTATTCATCATGTATGTGCAAATGTTTAAATGCATATGGGTGAGTACATGCACATAGAACCAAAGGTCAGGATTGGGTGCCTTCTTGAGTCTCTCTCCACCTTATTTTCTGAGGCAGGGACCTTTCATTGATTCTAGAGCATAGTAATACATTGATTCACATAGACTGGCTGGCCAGTGAGATCTAGGAACCCGCCTAACTGTAGTGTTATAGTCGTAGACCCACATAGTGCTGTCTGGCTTTTATCTGGATGCTGGGGATTCAAACTCAGGTCCTCAGGTTTGCACAGCCAAGTATGTCTCTGTTAGCCCCAACTCAGTACACATTAACTGGGCATAATGTCTGCCTGGTACTCCCAAGATATCAGATACAAGGAAGAAAATCATCAAAAATGTCTGTCTCCAAGGAGCTCTCTACTTCATAGTATCAATAGTACCTATAAGAAGTCCACAGCCTCTCATCGTACAGTCATCACACTGGGTTACGGTAACTTGAAAAGTCACACACAGGGAAGACTAGACAGATCAGGTGGGTGCTAGTTATGAAGGGAATCCACAGATCTTCCCACCCATGGGGGAAGAATAAGGAGTGGTTCGATTTGTTCAGATTCCAAATGCAAGTAGAAGGTGCTGATCCCATGGTCAAGGGCCCTGGGCCATGTCAGGTCTCCTTAAGTCCCTTGAATCTAGATTCCCCAAGTACGGCTGGACATGTTTTCAGAAACTGAGGATGCCATGTTCTCTTCCCTAGGGTGTCTAGGGTGAGATGATGGGATAGACTGAAGAAGGCCTGCCACAGACCAGATCAGGCTTTGAGGCAAAAGCCCTCTGCTGCTCTCATTCACGTTCCCTTATGTCCCTTCAGCACTTCAACAAGCTGAGTTCTGAGACTCCTGTTGCTTATTCAGAGTAGGCATTTCAACTCCCTTTGTTTTAGTGGCTAAGGAGTTTCCTATGAAATTCTGCTCACCTCAGCCTTCTGCTGCCAATGATCCTCTATTCCTGTGCTTCTCTGGGGACCTAATATGGACCTTCCTATGCCAAAGAAGAAAATGACTTTCTGAGCACTTACTGTATGCTAGGTACAATTCTAAGCACATTCTACAAACTAACCTATCTAAGCTTCTCATCAGCAAAAGGAGGTAGCTATAATTTATATGTAAGGAAACTGAGGCATAAACTAGTTAAGGAATCCTTTCCAGGGTGAAGAATAAAGAAGGATTTCAGATCCCAACATGACCTACTTTAATCAAACTATAATGAGTAATCCCGTAAGGGAGCCAAATGTAAAACTGCCAAATACAACCTTGCCACTTACAGTGTTTAAATATGCACATCCAAAAGAGGTGTCATACCTTCTTCATCTGTCCTGATGATACTCGTTTTCTCTTTCACATTATTTTATCAGCATGAAATTTTTAAATGAATAGAATCTTCTTTATAAGCTGTCATGCAACCACTGGCAAGAATCATTTCTGGACTGAGCGATACAGTGTATCCTGCCAGGTTCCAGCTACTGTGCTAATAATGTGTCTGCTGATCAGTTCCGTTGCACCCAGATACCAAAAGCTAACTTGCACCCAGGCCCACTTGCCCATTAAAGTGCCTCATCCCAGGCAGAGGCACTTGTTCATTCCAAAACCCAGGACTGGGTCATCTTCCTCCTGAGCTCCCACACTGCCCACTTGTCAGGTCCCACCTTTCATGATGTCTTCTGTATCTAACTAGCATTCCCGCCCTCCGCTCAGGCATTAGTGCAGCACCATCACCTGTTCCTCAGCACTCCCCTACCCTATCTGGTCTGTTCCATGGCTCCCTCCTGCAGAATTCACTTTCCACCTGCTGCCTGCATAGAAATCCTGGAACACTAAAGTGCAGGCACAGGCTGGCAGGCATTTCTAGTTCTCTGGCTTTATTCATTGATTTGCAAGCAGGGATGTTGCCCAGTTGCCGAGAAGCTCAGCTCCCTAAACAAGTGATGTCCGAGCAGAGAAGGTATGACAAGTAAGGAATGACAGATCAGGGAATGAAGATTGAAAATGGAAAAGAAGAACGAACTTCTCATACTTTCCCACCATGTGTTCACTCATGAAGTTAGTATCTTCTCAGTCCAGTGGTCAGAGAAAATATGAAAGGGAGGAGTCTCACCAGGAAGCAAACCTTCCCAGTGTAAGGCAGAAACCTACCCAGGATGGGTGCAAGGCACCCCACCCCATCTGCTCATATAACACAAATGGCCATGTTAAAACAAATTAGCATCACTTCGTAGAAATAGGATCAGAAGCAGAGTGTTTGGTGCACCTATGTAGTACCAGCTACTTGGGAGCCTAGGGCAGGCAGATTACAAGTTCAAGGCCAGCCTGGGCTACACAGGAAGTTCAGGGCCACTGAGACCTTGTCTCAAAAGTTTAAAAAAAAAAAAAGGGGGACTGGAGATATTTATAGGTTAAGAAAAGGGTTGTGGGTATGCATTTCTTTGTGATTTTAGTCACTAAATTTGCTATAAAAAATAAGCCAATTGGCCAGGAGTGGTGGCGCATGCCTTGGAATCCCAGCACTTGGGAGGCAGAGGCAGGCGGATCTTTGTGAGTTCAAGGCCAGCCTGGTCTACATAGTGAGTTTCAGGACAGCTGGGGCTACAAGGAGAACCTGTCTCAAAAAAAACAAAAAAAAAAAAAAAAAAAAAAAAAAAAAACAAACAACAACGACAAAAAAACACAATTTTGTCACAACAAAATTTTACAATACTTCAAAATAATTGCAATAGAGAATTCGTCAGCATTTTATTGACTTCAAATAACAATGAACAGAAGATACTTTATTTTCAGAAAATCCATTGATGTTGCTCAACATAACATGTATTTATAAAGACAAAGTCAGTTTATTCAAATATTTGAATTTAAAAGTATTTGAAGTTGGCCACAGCATAATAAACCTTCATCATCCAGAATTCTGGAGATAGTTATATTCAGAAGGTCACTGAAC